GTGGCAGTGGCAGCAGCGGCGATGGGGGGGCTGCGGTGGTGGCGGCACCGTTTGCGCCGCAGTGACTGTCCAGTCCGTTGTGATGTCCCAGTGGTGGCAACGGGCGAGCTCCGTATGAAGAGCAGGCTGCGATGTTGGGGTCCACAGCCCCCTGGGGCGAGAGTCAGAGACCCACTGCAGATCTCCTTTGCAGAGGGCTTCAGAGATCGGGTTGCCCTGTCGCCAACTTGCCGCTTTACCATTTAACAGATTCTTAACCTTACTGAATTAAATTATCTTGGCCTATCTCCACTCCCCCCAAGTATGTACACTAACAAGTTCATGAGGTTACATATAATAGAAATACAGATGATTTATAATATTTACACACTTAGTATACATAAATAGATAATATATATTATTTTCAGGCAAAATGATAGATGGTAGGTCTCCTATGGAAGTTTGGAACATAGAATTGAAAGATGTAATTTTAATATCTGCTTATCTAAATAGTATGTTACATAACTGAAACTCTTGATTGTTCCCACTGAAATATGGAAATACTTGTAAAGTTAAACACTTTTGCAAGCATCAGTTGAGTATACCATCTATAAGATATAGCACTGAGGCGGCTGAAATTTTCATTCAACGCCCATATATCACAACTTCTGTTTATTACCACTTCCTCAACCTTCTTTCCACTCTTTCTACAACTATACATACCAGAAATTGAAATTGGTTTTTCATGATATTTTTAAGCAAGCATTTTTAAACTTCTTCATATGACTTTTTTTCTCCTCTGGGTGTTTTCAAATAGATTTATCTGTGGAAAGATTTTTAGTTCCAGAATTTTGGGGGGTATTAAATTCAGGCTCACAGGTCAGTTATTCCCAGGTACATTCTATTTCATTTTCTCAATTACCTTAATGTTCTAGGCTGCCCAATCCTCAAACTGTCCATGTAGTACAGTTTTCTTTCTAAAATGCAGCTGTTGAATAGAAAGAAAAAACAGTTCCAAAATGACAGCATAAAAATAGAGAGAGATGATTTGTATAAAACTATAATTGGCACTTTATATGACATTTTAAAGGCATTAAGTATTTCAAAACCATTAAGAAAATTGTTATTATTGTGTAAGTCACTTTAAAAGAATAAATTTGCCCACCAGGCTGTTAAATCCAAAGTATTTTCTTTGAACAATGGTAATCCATAGTGATGTTGTTATACTTTCATACTGTAATTAGAATTATTGAGTAGAATGTTGCAAATATTGTCTCTAAATAGAATTGCTGCTGTGTATTTTTTGAAGTTTGTTTCTTCCTAGGGTTGGAGATCAGTTTTTTAGCTGCATGATTTATTTCCTTTCTATATGCTTTGTTATTTTCACTTTTACAGGAAAGGATAAATAAACTTAATTTTGCAGGGCAATACACAATCCTCACAAATATTAAATTCTGTTGGTGTCTTCTTTCTTCGCATACACTTCTATTGAATTGCAGCATTGTTTGTTCCTTATCTTCATTTCGAGTACTTCTCTGTTCTAGATTTATCAGCTACTAATGGAGCAATCAGTGAAATATAGATGTGTTATCTACAGGAATGCATTTAAGAAGAGATCCAGCCAGGAGACTGCCAATCTGCTGCTGGACGTTAGCCTTCTTTCTCTTAATAACGCTTAAATAAAGATCCTAACTTATAGGCTTGGCGTGAATATTATTAAACCTTCCTCACAGTTCCCTTGCACTTTGAATGTTCACTGACCTGTGTAGATGGCTGAATGGATAAATAAACATTTACTTAGGCCTGGAAACTCAGAGGGATATTATAAATAGGACTGATCTTGATTTTTTTTTTAAAGTTTTATATTGCATGATGTATTTATTCATTCTTTTTTAAACCGAGGAGACAGAAAAATAAAAATAACACACATAAACTGGCTTGCATATTTTTATAAATTAAAAGTGGTGAGGTTATTAACTTGTATCCTAGCTTGCCTGTTTTCCCACCCTTATTTTACATTTGTTGACAGTTGCATGAGATACACTTGGCTTGAACTTCAGAAGGCAAAAGAGATGCACTGAGAGAGGGGCCCTAAGGACTGAGATAGCAATTCCTACTAGTCATCTTAGTCTACATATTATTTTAGCTGAGTCTTCCTTCAAGTGAGTGTTCAGCCATGTTCAATGTTGCCAAAGAGCAAGGAAGATGAACACAAAAGGAACTCTTTGGCATAAGGTAAGGAGAAGTTGCACAAGGAACTGGTGACCTTGTGAAATCAGTTCCACCAAAAGGTGAGGACAGAGTTCAGCTGTCTTCTGGGTGAGCAGTGAAGAGGAAGGTCAGAAAGTGGAATGCAATGGAATGGGCAAGTCTGTCAAGAAGCTGAGCAACCCTCACTAGAAGTTAAACTCCCCAGGGCCCTTACCAGGGAGCCGCCTCAAGTTGTCAGGTGCACAACCTGAACGAACTGAAGCAGAAATCTAGTACCCATATTGTTTAACACAGAGCATATCTGACATGAAAGGTGAACCTAATGTTTCCTGAATAAGCGAAAAATATACACAAAGGAAGGAAGAATAGATTTACAAAGAGTCTAGAGATAAAAGCCATGTTTGTATTTTTATCTTTTGAAGGTTATCCTGAGAATTGATTCAATTTTATTTTGGGAATTAGGCAGAGTTAGAAAGAAAAACAACAATAATAATAACACAGCCTGGTTCTGGCATAAAGCCTGTGAAGCCTTTTTTCACATTTATTGTCTATTTCTTTACGGAAAAATGCATCATAGGACATTTGGGAAAGAATTGTAAATTAAAGAACATTAAAGGTAAGATTGAAATCAGAATGCAGGAAAAGTTTTACAAATAGATTTCTAATTAATATTAACTCGTGATGTTGTGTGGTTAAAGAGAAATATTAAATTAGCACCTAGGGTAACCCTGGGATCAGAATGAGTAAATAGAAGTGCAGCATACATAGCCATTTATGTCTCGCTAACTAATCCTATTTCATCACAATTACATGTGTCTGAGCTTTACACAGTTCTGTGTAGCTTTTAGGGTCCCTGTCTAAAGCTGTACCAGAGAGCAGAAATTTTGGGAAATATTCAGAAAACAGCTATAAAGATCGTTAAAGACTAAAGAAACAGGACTTACAGTGAAATGTTCAAATGGAATTTTAGTAAATTTTTATTCATTGTTTTAGAATTCATGATGATTTACATAATGTAGTTGCATAGGGGGAAAGACTGATTTTAATAATTTCGATTATAATTATCTTTTAAAAGAGATATTTAAACTTGGGTCCAAGTATTACATCAGATCTTCATCACATATTCTTTGGTTTATCGAGTTCGGCTTCCCTGGAGGGAAAGAAAATTCTAACAAAATTCGTGATGGTTAATGCCTGCCTTTTTGCAGCAAGGTCGGAACAAGAAGAAATGCGCCAACCCATTTAGACTAAGTAAGCAGCGGAGGAGTTAGTTTAAACAGAGGTTGTCAGAGGAAGTTATGGAATCTACTTCCCTGGAGAGTTTTAAAAATAGGCCAGGCGCTCATCTCTCTGGGATGGTTTCAGCCTGCAGAGTAGCAGAGGACAGCCCCAGGCCCTCTCAAGTTCCCTTCTGCTGTTTTGAGTCTGTAGGCTAGCTTAATATCGGAGGAGGCCTCTGGCAGGGCAAGCCGCAGTAACCCAGCTCTTGTCTAACTATGATACGTTCTTACCACATGGAATGATAAGTATATAAGGGAGGGTGGGGTCAGCAAGCTTCCTGACCTACAGTCTCTTCTTGGCATTGCCAAGACAGGCGCTCTCTCTACCAGCACTGTTGATCTGCTGAAAACACAAGCGATAATAGTTAGTATGGAGTGAGCATGCTCTGTTAATTTCATCTGTCCTATTTTTTATATGGTGCATGGTGTGTGTATTTGTGTGTGTGTGTGTGTGTGTGTGTGTGTGTGTGTGTGTGTGTGAAAATAGGGAAAGTAAAACTAATTGGACAGAAAATTTAGTTAAAAACCAGGAAAACAAATGAGGGAAAGAACCTGCAAGTTCTCTTGAGGTTAGACTCTAACATCAAGTATTTGCTTGTAACATTAGATCCTAACACTTAGCATTAGATTTGAAAGGGTCTGAGGCCTTTCAGAATTGTCTATTGTCAGCAGATGTGGTTTTCCTCTTAGAAAATGAGTTCCATTCCAGTCTCCAAGAGCAGCTGGGTAATGGTAGGTTGCTCACAAGGGCTGAGGAGACAGCAAAGCTGACTTGCAACAGTCAGAGGTAGCTTTAAATACCACACACCCCATCATTTGGTGGGTGGGTGTGTTGTCACTAACTGTGCTTCTACTTCAACAAAGAGAGTGGTGAGTTGCCAAAAAACAAGGATGCTTCATCTTAAGGATTATGCTAGTTTTTTTAGATAAGCTATTTTTTAAATGAAAAATGTTATCCCAATATATTTTCTAAGTTCATTTAGGCACTATATCTGAGGAAAGTAATTTAAGTATTGTACTAAGAAACTAGAACGAGAACAGCTGTTTCTCAACAAAGGTCTATCTTCTTTATTCAGTAAGTGATCTCAGGTGGCCTATGTGGTGTGGGGGACCTGCCAAGGCCACAATTATCCAGGCTGGCTAATGATGACACACTGGACCTGGCAACCTACAGCATTGCAAATTTACAAACTGGTGTAAAAATATAATGTTCTTTTTAATTGTTCTTTCCTGTGTCTCCTATAAATGCTCTTTCAGAAAGGTCACTTTAGTTTTCTTTAGGAAAAGGAGTCTTTTCTTCATTTCCCAAATAGTGTCCTTCCCCAGAAGCCTTCCCATTAATTGGGTTGGCCTGAAGGTCATAAACCATAATCAATATGAAGGCTGGTTGCTGAGAGGTGCTAATTGACACCCTCAAAGAGGAATAGTGTCAACAATCAATAGAGAAGATACTGGTAGATTTATGGCTTTGATTTTGAAAAGGTATGGGAATGCCCAGTGATGTTTTCCCCTGGACTCCTTTTGAATGTTAATGCTTTCTTGAAGATGATTTCAGACACACTGCTAGGATACTGCCTCTACTCACTGAAGCAGAATCCTCTGAAGAGTTGCTGAGGCAGAACTGAAATCATGGCTCGCTTCAAAGAAGCAGCAGTATTGGTCGCTAATGATGCCTCACACAGAAAGACGATGCTCCTTTAACTCGGGGGTTTTAATGGGAAGTTTCCAAGCCTGAAACAACAGCTTTAGACCTGGGGTGCCATCAGCTTCCTTGCAGCTACCACTGTCTACTGCTTGCACACAGCTTGGTCGGGAAGAATGGAAACTAAGGAGGCTTGTAACTACCTGTAACTGTTCCACCAGGAAATGGATCAAGTCTTTGTTCAACCAGATCCAGGTACTTGACCCAAACCATGTCTTTGATGTGCTAATTAACTGCTTTTCTCTAACTTTACAATTTATGCATGAGAAATAATTGCATAGATGCCTTTTGGATTCAAGTTCTGAATTTAGATTTAGCTGTTAGATAAAGTCTAATTAAACAGTTGCTAGGTAAAGTTAATATGAGAGGGATAAAATGTAATGATGCCTTTATTTTTCAAGCATGCTTAAGTTTATCATGTTATTGATACTGGATAAAGAAGTAGTAAAACAGCCTTTTTTCTTTCGTAAGCTGCAGTAATTTATTCTTGAAAGCTGCTTGCCCATTAAAGTATTTTTTTTTCACTCGTCTAAAACATCCAACCTTACAAAATATAACAAGGATGTTTTGATTTGTTTACAAAGGATCACAACTCAACAACTCATAATGATAACATTGACCGTCCCTGGGTGATGAGCCTTTTGAGGTATCAGCAAGTAGTCGTTTTCTCTATGAAACACACAAGGAACGAGAAATAAAACTGGGTGGGAACAGAAAGGTTTATTGTTTGAAGTTCAAAGTTCCAGTTTGGTAATGATGTCTTTGATACTACCAGTTCCTGACCCGGCATCCTCATAGTATTTTTTTTGATGTTCTCAGGTTGCCGTCTTGCCCTGCAGTCCCTTAAAAACTCTCCAAGCAGGTATTAGGAGGAAGATGAAGGAATATAGGGAAGAAATAAAGCTCAGGTTGAGGCTCAGGCTGAAGTAAAAGGTCTCCTGCTGACCCAGAGTTTACAAGCAGCAGTGATCCAGAATGACAGGGTCCACTCCCAAGCCAGGCAGACGTGTCTGCAGGCTGACTTTGCAGAGAACAGACCTCCCAGTGCAGTAGTGAGAGCTGGCAATAGTTCCCAAACTGCCTGTTGACATTTGTTGCTGACCACGTTCCCATGTTTTTAAAATCATTGTTTGTAGGGTTGCTAGTAGACGTATGTCTATTTTTCAAGAGAATAAAATAATATTTACCCTTAGCCCTCCCGTGAATTTTAAAGCATTGGGGCTATTGTATTGGAAAAAGAGAACTATACATAGAAAAAGGAATATGGATGTTGCCATGTATTTATGCGAATCAAAAACAAGGGGAGTGGGAGGATTTAAAATGTATGAAGTGCCTACAAAGAACCAGGAAACCTTTACCAGGAATTCCTGACTGGTCACCAAAAGGGGGCTGTGAATTTTCTGAATTTATATAACACATTTTGTATCTTTATGTGTATATCTTGGAACAGGAGTTACTATTTACTGGGCTAATATGCAGAATTTCCAAAAGATTTGTAGGGGAATATCTTTTGTTTATATGGTGATTAGATTACTTAGATAATGAGGTGGCTGATGCAGAGGGTACACAATTGTGGGGGAGGATGTATAATAGGGTCACCTGGGTTTCCCACGCCTGGGGTGAGGGAGTGGGTTGGGGAATGAGGTGTACCTTGAGAGACTCCAGGTAGACCAACAGGAATGCAGCCGAGGCTTCTTTTAGCATTAAAAGTAGAGAGGGATTCTGTTTAGCCCAGTCTTAGGATATGCATTACTTTTATCATTCAAAGCCATGTTACCATTTCAACAGTCAGCTTCAGGACTGTTAACAGAATAATGCAGCACTTTGAGTAAGTTAGTTTGTCTCTGACAGTCACTGTAAACCCAGTCCTGCCTAGTTAGCCAATTCCTTTCCTGTTAAAGTCTACAGATTGATCTTGCTACTAGTCTGCCAGATAAATATAAATAAGGTTCACAGGATGTCTTTGTAGGACAAAGTGTCCTGTCCACGTGAATATAAACTGGACAAGCCTATGAGTGTTCTTGCTCAATGGATGGGCTGTTTTTACACCCATTTTTGAAAACATGTCAAGTCACGTAACTAGGATTCTGACCTAGAAGTTTTAAAAATTAGGTATGGCAATTATGTGGTTTAGGAGTACTTAAAATACAGGCAGCATTGCTTAGTTACACCCTTCATACCCTTAGCAGCTGAGGGATGACGACTCATTCCAACATGCCAGAGAAAAATCTGGGATCCAACATTCTTGGAGGAAGTGCTACTCTTTTGGTAACTGATTTTTATGATTTGGGGCAGTCTATTTATAATCTCCATTCCATAGTGTACTTGTTTACATAACAGAAATTAGAAATAAATTTCTTCCATCACCACCTATTTATTTGACTTCCACCATGTGCTAGGCAGGACTACATGTGCACTTGTAACCACTGTGACTATTTTCACTCTGCCCCATTGCAGGAGGCTAGGCTCTCGAGTTGATGGCCCATACAATCAAGTGCCTGTGTGTGTCTCCACAGAAAAAGGTGCCCAATGCACTGAACTAATTCTGTTGCTGTCACTTTAAGAATAAGAAAAGAAACATGTCATTGCTTTAAGATATATTTTCTTCAGAGAAAATATTTTTCCTTACTGTGAAATTGTATAATGAGATGCTAATGAAATAAAATGTCCAAGGAATCCAAGGCTAAGAAGAGTACATGTTGTCATTAATAGTTTCCATGTAAGACATTTGGATTCAGGACATTTTAAATGGCTGCCCTTCCCCACTGTAAAGCAGATTAGGTAAGAAAGGGTCGACCTCTTAAATGCAAGGGCAACTGCCTATCTCTGGCTGATTTTTATATTTTGGACCTCGTCCATCAGCACTGAAAGCAAGGGAAATTTAAAGAGCCAAATAACTTACTGCTTTTTAAACCACAAGATCTGTGAGTATTTAAAGTATCATTGTGACTTGAACTATTTGTGATTCTTTTAAACAAGATTTATTTTAAACATGATGGTCTGGCATCTCAGTTCCACTGGATTACATGTGCTTTTTTCACCTCTCTATAACAGTTGGCTGGCACCTCAAATTTTGAATTCAGTTCCCTGGACTGTAAGGGGCCAGATATTTGATTTAACCTCCATATTAAGAGGCAATGATTCTAGAACAGAAAGGAATTCCTCAAGGAACTTGTTATTTAATAAGGGGAAGGACACAAACACAGCTGAGGCTTGTCCTGTAATCAGTGCTGTCACAGAGTACAGGTGGCATCTCTGGAGACAGAGTAGGAAGCACCCCATCCTGGGTGAAGGGAGACACGTAATGCTCTACCACGAAGGGGCTATTTGGTGTGAACTCTGAGGGAAGGGGGAGTAATTCCATAGGTGGGAAGAAGGTGAGAAGGCAAGCATTATGAGGTGGGAAAGCAGGAGGTGTTCAAAGAACAGCAGGTGTTAGAGGAAGTTGAAGAACAGACAAAATGAGGACATCCTTCACAGGTGTCCACAGACTCAATGACATGTAAGTTTACTCTTACCAACACATTGACCATTTTACTGGGAACTAAATGTGAGTTGATGCTTGTTCCTTCTGAAACTTATAACAATAAATCGATAGCTCAAAAAACTCCACTGTTAGAGTAACTTCTAATTTGTGATCTAGAAAACACTCAGGTATCAGGTCCACAAGGGGGTTGATGGGTGGCAGCCTCTGGGGAGCAAAGGTTTTCTGAGGGGAGGAGGTGAGATCTGGGCTCAGAAAAAAGAATCAAGATGCACTGTGTAGGAAGCATGGGCAAAAGAAGAGGAAGCCGCTTTGAAAATTACTAAAACTAAAGCGAGTAGCTAATACTGCGAATGACCATGGCTGCAATGGGCTACTCCCATGGGCCTCCCTAAGTAAACCCACGTGCCTTGTGTTTTATCAGTATCACAGGGTCCTGGGAGCATGACTTGATGTATCATGTGACTTTTGAAAATGATATATTTTAATGAAGGTTTTCTTAGTCCAGTATTAAAGTTAGATTTTGTTTCCTGAGCACACACAAATGGACCTGGCCAAGGGAAGACACAGCTGTGCTACGTGATGGGAAGTCCAGTCAGGATTAAAGTACTGCTGTGAGTAACTGTGGTCCTTCTTTGTGCTTAAAATAACTGCAATTTATTATTGTGAAGACTTAAGATGCTCGTGTCAAAATCTTTTGAAATAATTTACTTGCCAAGATTTCACTGTTCATCTAAAAGAAAGATTCCATTATTTAGTTAAAAGTAACCATGAACATTTTTATAAAAAGGGGGCATTTTACTCTAAGACAGACATTTTAAAAATTTATATGTCTTAGAAATATTTTTGTATTGTGGTAGTGAAGTAATTAAAAGTATTTATTTTTTTCATCTTATTATATCTGATACTTCCTTCAACTTAAACATGCTGTTGAGCTTTCTAAATTTGTAAATTATTGATTAGCTGATTGCAGGTTTAAAATCAAGCAGGCTCTTCCAGGGATTCCAATCAGTCCTAGGCAAAATTGTGAAATAGTCAGTATTTGTTTCTGAATTTCTTTATCCCCTTATAACCATCTCCTGATTGTCTTGTCTTTACCCGGACTGTCTCATCCCTCCCCCAGGGTTCTCCAGTTGGGCCCTTCTCAGGGAATCCATGTCTGTCCTCTGTCCTGTCTACTAGTCCCTCATTCCCAGCAAGATTTCTGCCAATCCCCTTTCTTCCTATCATATTTTCTCCTCCTTCAGTTGGGAACAGTCCTCACACACAAATTCCTAGTACATTAATGTGTCACTTTCCCTGGTACAATATTGCAATTTAGTAGGAAGTTTTGATCATTTGACCAAAAGGTGTTATTTTTACAGGACCTTGGGCACCACCGTATGCTGGGAGAGGTTTATGACTCACAATGTGCTATAGATTTAAACAGATTATTTTATTTCTATTTGCTTATCAATTTGGTATATCTGGAAGGGGTTGGTGATGGGGAGGTTGGAGAATGTAAGTATTTATATTTAGCAGGCTTCTCAGCACATGTGACCAGGCTGCAAAAAGGATTAATCATGTCTTTGCATCTCGCCTTTTAATCACTATACAGTGGTAAAACTGCAAATTTAAAAATAATAATTTTTAAAGCGAACTTTTAAATTCATTTTAATAGTTGACTTCGGTGTGGAGTAGCTGGGCCCCAGAGTCATTTCAAGGGAGATTGAAGAGGCAGATATGGCAGATAATCTGAATGGTGACTAAGTTATTTGCTGGAGTTTCTAGAGTGGTTGCCCATTACTGTAGCTCCCCAAAATGGTGTACTGGCTCTAAATCCTGAGTTATGGGTAAAGCCTAGAAAGCATGAGATGACCCAGAAAAAAAGAATTTGGCATTTTGCTTTGTATGGAGGAGAAGGCTGAGGAAGATTGCTCTTGGTGGTCATGATGGTTCTCATCAAGCAGAGACTAGAGTGGGAAGGGAGGGACTGAATAATGTGTCTCTATGGACTAGTCAGCCAGCTTGTGGTGAGGGGGATCATTCTCACAGACTCAATGGTTCTCTATCCAGTTCTTCCCTGTTTTTTTAGACTTCACAGATCCGGAAATGCTTATGTTGTAAATTTATACATTTAATAATCTTTACTTTTCATCTATCTACCTATTATGCAGTGTTTTCCTAAATAACATTCTGGAAATGCTTGCCTATTTTAACTCAGTTGAGAATGAACAGAGGAAAGAACTCTGGTCTCAACTGAAGCTGGAGGAAATATAGATAGGGAATGGGATTCTAGTAAGCCAATGAGAAGAGCAGGGATCAAAGTGAAGGGATCCTCAGCAGATATGAGAAGGCATGAAGGAACAGGTCAAAGATGCCCAGACATCTGTTCCTCTGTCATCACATGAATTTCCTTTGACCCAGCCCTTGGAGAATTTTATATGTGCTACAATCAAGTCCAGTATGGGAATTTCTGGTGGACCTAGATGGTCCTAGTCAGATAGACTAAGGAGATCTGCATTAGAGGCTCTGGCCCCCCTTCCTGCCCCTCCCCTCTACTGCCCCAGGGAAATCAATATCCATGGCTGGAAGGATACTTAGAAACAAGTAAACCAAAACCCTGATCTCAAGCCAGGCAAAGTGGGAACCAGAGGCAGGCCCAAACTTTACCTGTCTGATGACCACATGTATACCTAATCCTGAATTATACCTCACTTCTTTAAAATAAAATACATTTAAAAAACAAAAACAAAACAAACCCCAATTCATTAACATTCTCTATATTTCTAAAAAGCTTATTTTTCAAAAAAATTCAGTCAAATTTCATCTCAATCTTACTTCAAAACAAACATGAATTATAAATGAATCTTGCAACTGTTCCAACCTTTAAAAAATTTAAAGTAATGGAGATGCAGAAAGGATCCATTACTCCCAAACTGGTGACTTCTTCCTCCCAGGTACTGGTTGTGATCCCCTTTATAAGCTGTTTTTTAATTATGACTTTATCAACTTCGAAGTTTGCATCCATTATTATGATTACTAATGCTGTACTTGAAGGTAATGATTATAAGTCAACTGAAAAAATATTGTGTTGATGCTTTAGGTCATAAATTTTATTTTTATTTGTTTACTTTCATTGAACACAATTTATCTTGAATTCATGTTAATTTCCATAACTACTCTGCTATGTAACTTTTTTTATAGACAAATTCATGAAAAATATGTCATATGATTTTCTATATAGTAATGTCTATATAAATGCTTTTGTTTACAAAATCTGGTTTTCATATATCTATTCAGTATCTACAGCTTTTAATGTATATACTTTGATTTGCCTTTAAAAACAAACCTCCGTTTTTCCACCTGTAAAATGAAAATCATGATAACTTGTCCTTTTCCTTTTCTTCCTCTCTGTAGACCAAGTTGTCTTACATGATAGGAAACCACTGCAAGAAAAACTGTCCTTTTAAAAATATGCAGTTGATCAATTCCCTTTCCCTAGCTCAATCCTCTAGGTACTTCCCAGGGTCAAGTATTGAACCTGGTCTTTATTTTCTAAAGGAAAAAGAAAAAGCAGCAGTAACTGGATGGTTTGTGAGTCTGAGATATCTCCCTTCTCCCTTGGCTCAGGCAGTAGGAAGCAAAGTAGAAATACCATAGCTCCCTTAATCGTGTCTTAAGTGGAGCAACACCTTATTTTGTTTTTCTTCTTTGTATACTCTTCAAAGGGTTGTCACAGACATTCTTTTTTTTTTTTTATAGTACCATGAGATATGCAGACATTTCCCTCTGTGATTTTACAGCTAGGGACCTCTCCAAGGTCCCACACTCATTTAGCAGCAGACTGGAGACCAGAGTCCACAACCTGATGCTCCCTGAGAGAGTTTCTACATTAAGCACTTTTTCTAGTCTCAGTTTCCTGGGGGCCATAAAGATCTCTGCTTTCACAGAGCTTGTAGTAGAGTGGCTAAACTACATCAAGTTTAGCCACAGTCCTGGCTCATCACTGGTACTCATTCAGTGGCACCATCATAAGAATGATATGAGAGTAATATTAGTGGAAGGGAACTGGAAGAGACTTGGCAGGGAAGGCTGATTTGGATGTCAAGTTGACTGCACACCCTGAGGTCAATAATATCATGCACATTTCTCTTCTCTATTATAGTTGCATTCCTTGCCCATCCCTCCTTGGCCCCAGATGGCCCTTTTGAGAACAATCTGGTAATTTCATGCAAGAGTAAAATGTTTTTTTCTCAAAATCATACAGAATTAAGCGTCTCTGGTGGAAAAGAAAGCTGGTTGAAAATTTTCTTCTTTTCTCTGAAAAATATAAGAAAATAGATATTCCTTTCTTTCCCTTTCTTCCTTCCTGCAGATAACTCAGTTTCTCCGAGGTGCAGCCACCATGACCTCAGCAGACTGATGATGGGAGAAAAGCAAAGCAGGAGACACTGTGCTCTGGTTTCCCTGGACCATGGATGGAGGACAGCCCGTCCCTTCACCCCTAGTGCCCCTTGAGAACGTGCCATCAGATTCTAGCATGTCTCTGGAGCAGAAAACGACATTTGTTTTTGTAATTTTGTTGTTTATTTTCTTGGGCATCCTCATTGTCAGGTGTTTCCGGATTCTTCTGGACCCATATAGGAGCATGCCAACCTCAACCTGGGCTGATGGACTTGAAGGCCTGGAGAAAGGGCAGTTTGACCATGCCCTTGCTTAGGAGAGACGGAGCATGGTCTCCACCTGAGGAGGTGAAGTGCTTCATGTCTTGGCGAGGATTTCCTTTTGTCAGTGTTCTCAACAAATCAAATTTTAATGATATTTGGTCCCAGGACCATAATCCACTATTTCATAAACATGCAGTTGGGTTAAAGATATTTGAGGATGCTGGAAATGGTGTTTATATTACTAACCCAAAATAGGAAAGTTTGAATGTTTATGCTTGCTCAATAAATGAATATTGTTGAATATGTGTGATTGTGACACCAAGATCAATATTGGCATAGATTTACTGTTAAATGATGTACTACCAGATCTGACCAGAGAATAAAAGACTAGAAAGGACCTCATCTGAATCTGCGACAAGGTCAAGAAGAGATTTCCTTGCTCTAATTATGTCTCTCAGTTTGTTTTATTACATGGTCATCTGAGTCCTGAGCAGAGAGGAAGAAAGATTGTGAGAAATGGATCCAAAGTAGTTGCTTGTTTTCTCCTAAAGCAAGGAGCATTGGGAAGAAGTGAAAAAGTTCAGAAGAGATGGCTCTGTTCTTGGAAAATATGTTCTTCAAATGAAACTACATTTAAAAACTACAGAGTTTCAAAAACCATTTAATAGACCAAGTATATTCTATGTATTCATATTAATAACATGTGTAAAGGTTGCCATACATAACCCGAATTCACTCTCTATATACAAATGATTAAAGTAAAAGTAATAGTAAATAGTAAATGCAGTTTCAATGTTTTTTAAAAAATATAAATTAATTGTTTAGAGGAGAAGACTTTTGCAGTCTTTAGAGGAATGTGTGTTTATGACTGTATATGGTCACCAAATAAAACTTTTCAAGAAACAAAATGTCTCCTTTCTTATTTCTCCAGGACTCATGCACTAGGTGTCATGCCTTATATTGAAGGCTGAGACTTAACATTTTTCCAAGAAAGAGAGAGAAAAAAAGAGCAAAGAGCATAAAAGTTCATCTAATTTATCCCTCTCCCATTTCAGGAAGGGTTCCCACAAATTGTCCTACACAGATTAAAACCTATTCTAAGCACTGTTTAAATCCACCAAAAAGAGATAGATTCTTATTCCCACTTTATTAGTAGGAAAACTCATATCTAAAACAAACCCCTTAGGCTATATTATAATCTATGTTTTCCAATTTTCTCCTCAGCTAGTCATCATCTTTTTTAATTAAAAAAAACTTTAAAAAGCAGACTATGCTCAAAATCTTAGCCCTTAGTAAAATTGCTTTCTAGTCCCCTATTTTTGAAAATATTCTTTGGTGTCAGGCTGCCCAGACTCCCCCGCACTCCCATGTTTCTGTTGATTCTGTTGTTTCTTGTTTTTCTTAATAAAAGTTTCATTGAAATATAATTTACATACAATAATTTACCCTTTTAGAGTGCACAATTTAGTGATTTTTAACATAATCCTAGAACTGCAATTATCTCACCACTATCAAATTCCCGAGCCCTGTTTCCACTGACAGTCACTTTCTAGCCCTCCTCCTCTAACCCTTGGCAATCACTAATCTACTTTCTGCCTCTATGGATTTGCCTACTCTGGACATTTCATATAATTGGAATCATACAAATTATTATTTCACTTAGCATGCTTCCGAGGTTCATTTGTGTTAAAGCATGATCAGTACTTTATTCTTATGACCAAATAAGATTCCATTGTTTGTATATACCGTGTTTTGTTTCTCCATTGTTATCCTGATTATTCTTTGCTTATCATAAATAACGCTGCTGTGAATATTTGTGTGCAAGGTTTGTATGAATATGTGTTTTCAGTTCTCTTGGGTAAAACCTAAGCATGGACGTGCTGGGTCATATGGTGACACTATTATAACTTTTTAGGAAACTGTGAAACTGTTTCCCAAAGTACTCACATAATTTTACATTCTCATCAGCAGTGCAAGAGGTTCGATTATTTTCTCAACTTTATAACTACTCAAACTTCTTCTTTAGTTGAAGAATTTACCATTGAACAGTCCATTCTAAGAATGATTCATATTAAAAAGAGTAATTAGCTATAAGCTTATTAATGCTTTCAAAGGTTATTTGCTTCTAAATCTAAAGCAAAACATTGCTGCTAATTTGTGGTCCATCAACTCACCTGAGTATTTTTTCTGCCTTGCTATCATATACTTCTTTAACCTACTAATTGTAAGATTTTCTTTTTTTCCTTCAAATGTATTGGGTCATGCATGTCCTTATTAAATTTTTTTTTTTTTTTCTTGAGAGTCTATTCAAATCCACTCAAATATTTATGGAGTCCCTGCTTTGGGTCTGGAATTGCTAGTGCTGAAGAGACAGGAAAAGGACAGGGCCAGTTCTTAATCTTAAGTACTTTTCTACCTTGCTGGAAGGATAGTAAGTTTAGAAAGGCATGTGACTGAACCGTTGTTCAAATGACACCTATGGTTCCCACACCACCAAAATCATCTGAGGAGTTTAATATGTATGCTAATTTTTATTATAAAAATTGTACACAATCCTGGTAAAAATGTATCAAATTATATGGAAAAGTATAAACAGTACTCATCAAAGTTCAACCCCTTTCGGTTACCCTTAACACTTCAAAATTTCTCCTGGTGAGTTGGTTGAAAATGGACATTACTACAGCCTTGATTCTGTAGAGTTGGGTTGGTGAACAAATGCTCCAGGGGATGAAAAAAAATGGAGATAGATGAATGTGGATCAAAATAGTGAAGGAAGTGTCCCAGGAGACATTGGTTCAGGCATGATTGTGCTTGTCCAAGTGCTTGGTCAAAAGTGCTTTATCAATATGTTATTATTGCTAAAAAATTAGAACTTGACCCTCTAACATATGGAGGTGTTTTAGTTATGTGTGAAGGAAAGGAGGAGGGAAAACCATGGAATAAGGAGACAGAGGAGGTGTAGGTGTGGGGTTCGGGGCTGGGAGAGCAGCCTGGCTGTAGTAGACAGTTGGAGAGTTAGCTGGAAAGCATGTGGGAAGGACAAAGGCAGAGCTGGACATCAGAGGGTCCTAAACAGAAAAATCAAGGGTGGGAGTCACTGTAGATTCATGAGGAAAAAAACAATAACATCAAGAGTGGTGTGTCAGTTCCAGCTTCCATGCTCTTCTTCAGGGCAAAGCTGTAATGGGAACAGACTGAAATAGCCACCTGCCCTCTAGGAAGGCCTCCCAAAGTCTGCACTTCTTTCTCTCCTCCTTTTATTTCCTACTTTATTTTTGTTTTTCCTTCTCAGATTACTGTTTCTTGTTCAACCTCCCCTCCCTGGTTCTCCCCCTGCTCCCTTGTCCAGCATAAGAGTACCACAACAAGTGATAAAAAGGCTTTGGACTATCCGGAGTAAATTGATCCCCCCATAAGAAGTGCTAATTCTCTATTTTAATTACTCTCGGCTTCTTGGGGTGAACAGCACATTCTCAAATGTTCACGTAAGTCCTCTTTTTCCTGGCTTTCTGGCTCCAGGAGTTACAGTGCAGTACTTTGCCTATCTTACAAGATATTTATAACGAGTGCAGCTGGCCTATACCATGTATATCTGCATCCCAGGATAAAAAAGAAAGAAGGAAGGACGGAAGGAAAGGAGGGAGGGAAGGAGGGAGGAAAGAAGGGAGGAAGGAAGAATGACTTTCCCAAGGTCACTCTCTAGAATAGATCTGCCTTTTGACTCCGAAAAAAGCAGAAACCTCATTCTTAAGGCTTATGTTGCTAAGAGACTCAGAGTTCTAGATCAACATCTCTCCTTCCAAGAGATCTTTCAAAATATCTTAAACAATGAGAATAAAGCAAGGTTAACATGGGGTGTGAAGGAGGTGAATTTGACTCTTGCTGTTAAATTAATAAACATACCAAGACAGACAGGTTTTTTGCTATTTTTAAGGTTAAAGCTAAGGCAAAATAAACAGCAGTTTTAGGAGACAAAAGTTAGATAGAACAGATGTTTATGTATGCAGAAAAAATATGTATTCAAGTTCCCTTTTTATTGGATTCATTGCAGTGTTTTGCTGAAATGCCGAAGTTTTTAAATTATAAATATTTTTTTAAATTTGATGTGATGAGAAATTTTCCTCATTTATCATAAATTTTTTTTTAAACTTGTAATTTCAAGATGTCAGCTTTCAGAATTGACACCGAAAGCATATTGAAACACAGTTAGTTTCAATAAATATTCTAAGCCCCAAAGCACTGAATAAAACCTGAGATGGGATTTATGAGATGTGAAATGTGTGTCTTCCAAGAAAAATTATGTAAGATGTGTGTCTCATTTATTGATTAATCACAAAGTTGTGAAGTAGAGCCAAGATCTCCAGAAAAGAATATCCAAATCACTATATGTATATAGTGCAATCCAGGATCAAACTGGCCCATGCCAGAGGAAATCACTTCTTTGTTTTGAGAAGGAAAAGAACTCTCTAAGCTTTGTTTGCACCTTCCATTTCTAAAAAAGATAAATAAATTATTTCTAGACAGATGTGTGTACTCTGCAGTTGTGAGGCCTCCCCAGCCTGCAGCTTAACTTGGTCAGTTGAGCCAGGGCCCAACATGTTAGCCAGTCTATAGCCCTCTGCAAGGTCAGTTTTTAAAGGGTAAGTTTCCCTGCTGAATTTAGTCGAGTGGAAATTTTGTCTCCTGTTTCCAGCTATGTCTCATCCCAAAGCACCACAAAATCCTCTTAAATTCCTCCATCCCACAGCCTTTCTCAATATCCTGATTGATGTTTCTATACTCTGTATTTTAGAACAAGAGAGATTCCCTTAAAACCATCTTTTAAAAGGGATTTCCACCCTTATTCTCTTTCAAGCCTAATTTCCAGCCCTAGAACACCAAGCTTATGTCAACTTTTAAGAGAGTGGCTCTTCCTGGGTTCGTTAGAGTTTGAAAAGCTGGAAGGAAACATTGTTGTCATCTATTTCAACCTCTTTATTTCACATGTAAAGAAATAGAGAAGCAAAAAGGTCATATGGTGTGGCCATAGTTCTCTACTCATTGGTTGTAGTTACATATATGGTGTGCAGATGAATTCCAACAGAATGAACAGTTGAAACCTTAAGTAAAAAATTTCATTTGGTAATTGACATGAGAATCTATCTTAAACCTTAAATAGTTTCTTTTGGCAGGGATGGGGCAGACAAATTTTGTGTTTGAAAAAAGCCCTATGGATGAAGTATTTGACTTGGGGATATTCTAAAACTTCAGTTTAAGAGTCTAGGCAGCCAGAAGTATTGCCAGTTAGCTTGTAGAGAATTCCTTAGCTAAAACACAGGATAATCAATGCAGGATAAGCCTTCAAAGTTTCTTTATTCCCAAATAGACTTTTGAACTGTATTTTTTTTTAGCTGAAAAGGCACAACAAGGGAGATTACAACATAAAGTTTATGAAGGCTGTGGATATTGCCCTATCTAAGGTTTATCAAAGAGATGTTTGGATCCTCTTGGGACATAGATAGAACTTCAGAAAATATGCTGAAATATTTCAAGTTTGAAAGTGCACTTTATCCTTTTCTGTCCTGCCTTTTTTCCTAGTTGCTTTGTTTCTTTCTCTCCCTCTATTTTCTGGTCATTGGAGTGTTAGAAGAAGTTTAACACACCATTAAATTCTATACTTCTGGTGTACGAATATTTTCTTCAAAAGTCAACAATAAATGGCTACCTGGTTTCTCTCTGAACATGTCTTACCATTTTGTTTGTTCTGTTTTTTAATATAATATAGTATTATCTGCCAGAAATTTGTCTTTCTATAATTTTTACCAGTTGAACCTTATTTTATCTTCTGGGGTGACAGTTTTCTAATACTCATTAACATGGCAACTCTCAAGATGCAGTTATTGTTGGAAGATAATTCTCCTTGGGT